CAACCCAGCCACTTTTGTATGGAACAAACAGCTCCATCATCATGTAACAAAATTACATCAGGATGTATAATCAAGGTAGACACGAGTTTCATCTCTTTTTTTTTCCGCACAAGAAACAGGGAATTATTCTGAAAAGACATCATCACCACCACCACTAGACTCCCACTGTCAACAAAAACAATGAATAAGCTCACAACAAGCTTGTGACCTCCTTTGAAGGCTCCAGTGAAAGAAATCCCACAGGCACAACACAAAACCTTTACAGGGAAGCCCTTAATACTCAGCATTTCATTAGAATTTAATTGGACTGTTACCCCATATTCTTCAGGATCCTCAAATGTTCATGTTTCGTGCTATTCCTAAAACAAATATATTCCAAGCTCAATGTGTCGAGGGACAAAAAAACCCAAACCAAACAACAAAAAAACAAACAAACCAGCTTAGCCCACCCAAAAAGAAATTATTTATGAACTACATATTTTTCTTAGAATTATTTAGTACTAGAAAAAAGTTCCTTCCACGTAGTCACTTATATTGTCAATTAACACATCTGGACAAATGGAAGGGCCTGAAAATAAGCTTTAAAAAGGCAAAGAATACCTTATTTTAAAAAGGAGGTGGGGCCTAGGGGGACACGAATCCTTTGAACTTGCATCTACAGCTCTCACAGCAGCAGCCTTGAAAAAAATACCCTTGTACTGTGCAGTCCCCAAGCTCACATGGGCTAAGGTCAGGAAGTCACCATGTATAATGGTCTAGGTTATCCTGTTCCACAGGGAACCATGTATGACACACCAACAATTCACAGAGCACAGAAGAAATGCAGTTTACTTTGTACAGAACTACCACGCTTAAAAGGCCATGACAGGTACTGACCTCTTTGCAAGGCAGGTACTTGTAGATCCCTGTATGTTCAAGTAAACACAGTTGCTTTTATACAGTCTGTCGTTCGATTAGCTCTTAATTAAATAACTGTTTAAAGATCTGGTTTTATGGCTCAGAAACTTAGTTTCTATCTGCTCATTCAGCTTTTTTCTGCACATTTAATTACTCCTTTGACTGACACTTTGTACATCTTAACAAAATTTCACAGAATCACAGAATAGTGTAGATTCTAAGGGACCTCTGGAGGGCATCTGGTCCCACCACTGCTCAAGCAGGGCTACCTACAGAAAGGTGCCCGGGTGCATGTCCAGACAGCTTTTGAGTATCTCCAAAGATGGAGAGTCCACAACTTCTCTGGGCAACATGTGTCAGTCACTCTCACAATAACAAAACAATTTTCCTCTGCATCATTGATATAGAAGGAGTTCTCCCTCAGGCCAGAGAGTGAAAGAATGTGAGAACTTCTCTGTCTTGCCCTGCTTTTTGACCACGTGCAACACATAACCTGAAGTGTGATACTTACCAGAAGCAGTGTTCGAACTTTTAGCTGAAAACACAACAAAAAAGAAAACCCTAAACACACTTACACATCTTGCTGGGTTTATAGTAGACTTTGAGTAACAAAGGTTACAAAAAGCAGACCAAAATATATTATTTACTAGAATATTTTAATATTTTTCTTCCCAATATGAATTTTTTCTCCTTTGGCATTTAGAATCCATTTGACAAAACCAAAACACCTCAATCATACAACAACAACAAAAATAACCCCACCAAGCCCCATCACATTTCTCCAAATCGTTCTATAGTTTAATTTTTCTATTATAATTTTAAGCTGAGAATTTATTTGCTTTATTATTTCATATACTAATGAAAAACTAAAACAAAACAAAAGTATCAAAATTACCTTGGTGTAGAAGTAACTACAAAAAATAATGTGCATGGAACAGAAATGTGACATAAATACAAGAAGAATTATTTATGCTAGGTTTTTAATTTTTTTCTCTTGAAACTCAGCTGGCTTGATCAAGGAGTTTGCTTTAAGGACAGAGTAATTTTTTTTCCCTTAACAAAGTTAGGGCACCTGAATCAATGCATGGGATGAGTCCTTCACTCAGCCTTCTTAACTTTTTCTGGACCTCTTCCATATGGCTCATTTCTAACACCTACTGCTTATTCGTGGCAAATGATTCACTCCTGGAGAGTTCAACTTATTTTCAAGACACTTCACACTGGCAAGCTCAGGTACTACAGAAAAAGAATAGAAATACCAGTGTGCAGATATTGATGTAACTGAGCTGTTTACTTTTTCCAAAAGGTTTCCTATAACAATAACAAAAACAAATTCAAATAAACCCCAGCAAATCTGAGGAAGTTTATAGCCCTGACCAAGACAGCTATTCTTTTTAAGTGATAAGCAAAGTTTAGATCTTCACATGTTTGTAGTTTTCTATTTCATAACCATTCTTTCCTTGAAATCTTAATATAGCGTTAAGGACTGCACATCCTGCTCTTCACTTTCCTTTCCATGCTACCATGTCTCCGATTCCCAGAGTGTAGCACCAGGAAGTTTCACAGGACAGAAGCAGAGATAAATAAGAGAAGGAAATTACAACTAATCTATTGCAAAGCTTGTTCTTTCTCCATAACCTCAAGTCTTGGGGGACATACAGTACCTTATTTACAAAGGAATGGAAAAAAGGTCAGAAGATGATTATAGGGGTGGAGCACCTCTCCTGCGAGGAAAGGCTGACAGAGATGGGATTATTCAGCCTGGAGAAAACAAGGCTCTAGGGAGAACTTATAGCACCTTCCAGCATGTAAAGGGAGCTTCAGCAGAGTAGGGACTTTCTGCAAAGTGGGACTTTCTACAAAGGCATGTAGTGATAGGACAAGGTAATGGGTTTAAACTGAAAGAAGGTAGGGTTAGATTAGAAATAAGGAAGAGGGTTTTTATAATGAGGGTGGCAAAATACTGGAACAGGTTGCCCAGACAGGTGGCAAATGCCCCATTCCTGGAAATATTCAAGGTTAGGTTGCACAGGGCTCTGAGCAACCTGATGTAGTTGAAGATGTCCCTGCTCACTGCAGAGGGATTGGACTAACTGACCTTTAAAGGTCCCTTTCAACCAAAACTATTCTATGATTCACTGCCACCAGCATAAAATTAAAAGTGCTATGGAAACAGTCATGAGGCCTACCTGGAGTTGGGAGGGGGGGAGTGGACACAGTGAAAAGGAATTCAATGGTCACAAAGCTTAAGTCTAGTTAACATGCAAACACTTTATGACTAAGGCTTGTCTTGACCAGGGCCATATTTGTGACACATTTCCAGTCTTCCATCCTCAGCTACAAATCTCAATCCCTTTACATTCTGAAAGACATCACAGGTATCCAGACGCAAGGTCAATATAGCCAAGAAGGATGATATTCACAATCTCTTGCTCTAACACCTGCTAGGGTATACTAAACAGTTGTATACCATTAGTAGGCAGGGAAAAACTATATGCAGAAAGGTTCTTCCTGCACCTCCAACCCTAGGCTGTTCCCAAAACAGGCCTCTATGAAGAGTCCCCTTTCAAAGCAGATATTTCCATCTAATAATAGTAGTCAACCAGCACATTCCCATCAAGAAAAAAATGTTCCAAAGCAAATAGGACTGCAGGATGTTGTAGCAGCTGGTCAGCTCCAGCTAACCAGAACTTCTCTTTGAACCATAACAGCTAAACATGACGTCAAGATTCTGATTACCCATAGTAACATTTCTGTAACACTCCTTACACAAGCCAGATTCAACGCATCCAACTCAGCTCTTAGCTTTTCAACATGCCATCAAATGCCAAAAAGTACTAGAGCAGACAAAATTCTCCTAATGGCAAATTTCTTATTATAAAACTATTTTTTGTCTCCAAAAAAAATTTCAATTAAATGGAACAATCCCTTGCCCAGTTAAACATTTCTCATCTTAGCATTACATAAAAATCATAAAAAACCCAAACAGATTAAAAGCCAATATGATAGTAACATTTGTATCTGCAGACTGGACAGTAGTTAAACATGATTTTTTTTCTTATAGTTTCACACTAAAAAGCCAGTGTCTATAGTCAGGTTGTTGTTAAGACAAGAGTTTATTGTAACTACTACAATAGAAGGCTTTTATTTGTACGAAATAAACTCAAGCTTATGTAAGCAGTTATCAAGCTGGCAAAGAGAACTCTTACCTAAATCAAGTTTTATCTGAAACATTAAAAGTCAAATTTTACTTATACAGTTGCCCTTGTGGGAAACTGCAGAGACCTTGAATAAAATTTACTGTAGAACTAAGCTCTGTTATCCAGCCTAGAGCCTTTTAATAGTTCCTTTCCCAACTATTAGACCAGCATAACCGAACAGGCATTTCATAACACATATCAAAAGTTCATCAGCAAGTGCTGAGGTACAGTTACCAGTTGTTTCTGGGTTTTGCTGTTTTTAAGACAAGTCACAGTAACTATGCTGTGCACAAGCACACCTTATTCCACTCAATCTCCTTGCAGAACTCATACTTTTCAGGGAACAACTCCATGAGCTAGTGCAGAATGCAACGACTAGCTCCAGACAAATGCATCCCATGACACAAGGTATCTCAGTTCACTTATTGTTACTTTTCTCATTCTACAGTCACCACACAGAGATTAGCAATACTTCCTGGTTGGAAAATGCTTTTTCTTGTTGTTTTTCAAACATATGAAAGCTCTAACAGTAAAGTCTCACATTCACTTCTGAAGCCTACAAGTCTTTAGTAAGATGGAGGACAGAATCATTTACGCATAGTTTATCAGATACAAACAGTTCCATTTCTATTGATGCAACTGGTAATATTAGCTAGATATTTAGCAGATATGTCTGCTATTTTAAAATCTGAATTTTAGCAGTAAATATAAGGGATTTCCTCACGGTTAAAGGCTTAATGCTTATTACGGAAAATTCTGAAAAAAAAGTGTTAATTTAAAACCATCTGGTATTCTTGCAATGGTAAAAAACAAAACCAGAACCACAACCAACCACCATAAACAAAACAAACAAACCCACAAACAGACAACAAAACAAACCTAAAACCTTGTCAGACCACTCACCCGCAACGCTGGTAATGGTAACAGGAACTCCTTGAACTTGCACACCTGCAGCACTCAGGTTGGCAACACTTACGGTTTGGAGATTAGGTACTGAAGCAAGCTGGGCAGCGTTCAGAGTGATGGGGGTACCAGCAACAGCCACTGGAGCAATCTGGGCAATGGTTGTGCCACCACTTGAAGACACGGGGGTAATGGTGAGCTGCTGGGGTAACCCAGTGTTTTGAACTTGAAGATTTGAAAGGCTTTGCAGATTCTGAACCTGCACAGTTTGCCAGCTGATCTGTCCTGATGGTGTTAAAGTTGGAGCCCTGATGAGCACCTGAGTTGGACTCACTGCCTGCAGTTGAACGTTCTGCAAAGGCTGCTGCTGGATGGTCTGTATAGTCTGCCCTGACTGCAGCTGAAACGACTGTGGAGGAATGGCCTGAATAATCTGCTGTTGAGGCTGCTGGATCTGTATCTGCTGCAGAATAGGCTGACCTACGATTTGGACCTGCTGCAGGGAACTTGACTGATCCTGGACATTCTGTAGTCCATTGGACTGAAGCTGACTAGAGCTCTGGGATTCAGAGTCTGTAGTAGTCGTCTGAGATTCTTCAGTCGCTGCGGGCTCTGAAGTGCTGCCTCCTGTGCTTGTGTACTGGCCTGTTTCTGCAGAGCTTACCAGCGTGTCACTGCTCGTCAGAGATGTTGTGGCAGTGGTTGTAGCAGTGGAAGATGAGGAAGGAGATTCTGGCATTGTGCTACTAGAGGCAGAAGTGACAGGTGTAGATGCTAGTTGATTTCCATTGGAAACTCCGCTCTCGGTAGACTGGCCAGCTTGCCCAGAACTTCCTCCAGTGGAAACGTTGTTGATCACAGGCAGTGCCAGGGTTACCCCACCAATGTTGATAGGTAACGTTGTTACAACTTGTGCCTGAGTGCCAGCAATAGTTTGCAGCTGCAGTGGTATGGACACACCAGGCCTAATTTGGACTGGAACTGTCTGATTTGCTAGGTTTTGAGCAATAACGTTCCCCGAAGCTGTCCTGTTAGCAGTTGTGAGGATAGCTTGATTATTCCCTGCAGGAATAAGCTGAATTTGACCCTGTATGTCTTGCAGACCAGTAGCATTAGATGGACTGATTTGAAGTTGTTGACCTTCTGTTGTCTGAATCTGTGGGATTACTTGGTATTGGACACTACCACTTGGATTTTGCACTTGAATGACTTGGAATTGTCCAGAGGTCGTTGAAGAAGAATTGCCTGATTTGGTTTTTGAAGGAGATGTACTTCCATTATTACTGCTGGCGGGACTTGCTGCACTTGAGGCAGCAGAAGATCCTTGTTGAGCAACATTATTTTCTTTCGAAGCAGAAGGAGCAGCGGCAACAAGCTGCCAAGCGTTTCCTGCGAGCTGAGTTGTTACCAATTCCAACTGCTGTGGTTGATTCTGAAGCTGCACCAAGCCTTGATTTGGGTCTATAATAATCTGCTGCTGTCCAGTTCCTTGATTCTCACCAGGGGTTCCTATTTTGCTGCAAGTGGCTGCTAGCAAAGCGAGAGGTGAAGGCTGAGAATCCTATCCATAAAGAGAGAAACCAGAATGGATTCAAGGGAAGAGCACGAGTAAGAAGCATCAGAAGTGAGCATTAAGGTTTACACAGGAAGCAAAAAAAACCAAACCAAAAAAAAAAAAAAAAAAAAACCAACAAAAAAAAAGCGCTTCGGCAGAGAGACCAATGATACAGCCCTGAATAAGGAAGTGTGTATTGCTGCAAATAATCTTTAAATGTAAAGTTCTTAATTATCAACAAATGTGTGATAGCCAGAACCTCAACTGCATCCTCAATTTGGTCTTTTGGCCCCCTAACATAAAGAAAAAAATTAAAAATGCTTCTACTACATGGAAAGCAGATGATCACTGGAAAATGCAACCAAAAAAAACATGTCCAGGCAGTAAAAACATCGCACCCAACCGTGTTTCATCCAACCCAAAGAAAGATGCCCTGAGCAGGAAACGGTGTTAGCTGAACATTTCATTTCAAATGCTAATAGTCTGGGCACTTCCCTATTCGGGTGTGTGTGCTTTACCTGTGAGCCTCCAGTTTTCCCTTTTTTATTATTATTGTTGTTATTCTCTGCCTCGGGAGATTTCTCTCCCTCTGTGGGCATAGTTTCCTCCTTCTTTTGATCTGCAAAAATATCAAGTGTAACAGGTTAATTATTCACCTTCATTTATACAACAACAAAACCTACGAGCATATTCTTTTCGGTTCCCAGCTCGTCGCCTTTGCCTCTTCGCAAAAAAAACAACAGTACAAAACATTATTACAAAAGAACCGAGTCCTAAGAAACGTGGTTTGAAACCCAACCCATGGGGGCTGGAGAGTTAACACCCAGAAAGGGGAGGTTTGGTTTCCTCTCCCGGAGACAGCAGGAAAAA